GGTATAGCTCTTCGCCAAAAATGTTTAGTCGGCCGGCACTCAATATGGTCGGTCGACCATATCTTCCTGCAGAATCCTGTTTTGACAGCAGCAGAGGGCAAACTAGGCATGGCAATGCATTTTAAAGAAAATGTTTACACAACCAACCTCCCCATCATGTTATGGACTCAAGGGAGTGTGGCCCTCGGCCCTCGGGCCACCAATCACGCATTTTCATGCATGATGGCCAAAGAGTCAAGTGTGCAATTCAATATGGAATGAAATGCACAAAACACATAAAGGGCCCCCAACCTCTATCATGATTGATCAAGAGGCAAGGGATGCATGCTCAATGATATGCAACCTAAGCATGCAAACAAACTAATGCAAAATGAGTATGCTAGCAAGCAATATGCAATGGGCATATAACCTAAGTATGCAAACATGCAACCTAGCATACACAATGCTATGGACTATATGGCACACATAATGCTATATGAACTATGGCATGCTCAGTGCAACTGACCACCTAGCATACACAATGCAAGGAGTGATATGGCATACACAATGTTAACAACATAGCATGCACAACACATTGTAACATAGCATACAAGCACAACTCTCAATAGCACTTAAAACATGGAAAACATGGGAGTATGGCACAAGTATAAGCTCTGAAATATCATACCCAATGATGCTAAAACATGCAAACACCTCAATATAAGCATGCAATAGGCTTCAAAACTCAAGACTAGGCATGACTATTACACTACAAGCATACATGGCAAGTACCATTCGACCATGGGACATAAAAACAGAGCTAAGGCAGTCCAAAACATGCACAAAATCAGTTTAAGGCATGGCCAAAATATGCTAGAATGGAGGGCCAAAATAACATGCAATGTAAGCTAATGAGCATGGTTTACACTACAAGCATATGGAGCATATGAGGGACCACCAAACCAGCCAAAAATAGATTCATGGCATGCCAAAATATGACCAAATACCCACTGAAATATGTCTAATACATGCAAGAATGAGGTGCTCCCTTGAAAGGCTGTGAAAGGAGTTGTTCTACACATGCAAGAAGGACATCTAATATGGCAAAACCAGCTCTGGAAAGAGCTTACGCAGGTCCTAAAACTCACCAAAAAAGGCCTGAACCAAGCTTGGGATGCATGCAAATATGGGCTCCTTTGTAAGGCCAAAAATGTAAGTAAACAAGACAATAAGGAGAGGGGATGACCCTCTCCTTCTTAGGACCTTAAAACATCATCCCCACCACTGAAATCCCTCTGGGTTTCAGTGGTGAGAAGGCCAATACAAGGCGGTCCCGAAGCTCGCAAAAAAGGCACAAAAATGAGGCCAAACAAGGCCTAAGAGGGGGTAGACAACCCCAAACACAAAAGTAGTCTTAAAAAAACTTCAAAAGGAGCTTAAAATAAGACTTTTTTCAGTTTATGACAAAGCTGGAAAATGCTTGCAAGTATGGCTAAAAGATGAAGCAAAATAAAGACCAAAATAAACTAGCAGCTTCAGCAAAACTAGCAGCTTTAAGACCAAAAAACCAGACCTTTAACCTCCAAAAATGGCCTCCAAGATCCTTAGGTTGATGATGGAGGTGTTAGGCTAAGAGTTGGTGTGCAAAGGGGCCAAGAGCTTCACTCTTTCTAAGCCTAAGTGTAGAGATAAAGAGAGATATATGTGTATACCTTAGCAAAATTTCTTGGAACCCCATCTAATGAGGGAGAGGCTCTCTCTTATAGAGGAACAAAGGTCCAAGCTTCTCTTAGAAGCTTGGAGCCACTACTAGAAAGATGACTTTTTGCTACCATATAACTTGCGACCCCCCGATTATCAGTCGCAAATAACTAACATATTCCTTATTTTCTTCTATTTATTTTTCCCTTTTCCTTATATTTGCCCTAGCCCTTCACAATGATCGCTCCCTTTCTCGCGCGAGCTCTCTTTCAGTCTCTCTCTCAGTCTCACACATTGGTATGAATCACTCTCTCTTCTTTCGATCTCACTCGTTCTGTGTCCCTCAATCTCTTCTCTCTCTCATTGATGTTCTTCTCAATCTTGTGCTCTCTCTGTTTCTTATATTCTAAAAACACAATCAGCTTTTCCTGATTCTTTTGAATTCGATCATTGAAGGTACGCACTCTCTCTCTCAAGTTTCTTTCTCTTCTTCTTCTTGTTTTCTGATTTGAATCTGCACCTAGGGTTTCGATCGAGTTCAAGGTACTCTCTCTCGGAAGTTCTCTCTGTTTCTATTTTCCTTTGTCTCTTGTCATTTTACAATTTGAATCTGCTCCTAGGGTTTGGATCGACGGATGACCCTTGCAATATTCAAATTTTATGATTTCTATTATTCGATGAATGAAATTCAATTTTATTTTTTCATTTCGATTTTTTTTGTTGCTTCTTAAGCCTGAAAATTCAGTATGTTTTTATTTGTCTGATTATATTTCTCCATTTTGCCTCTGTTTATCTACTCAGATATTGTCAGAAACTAAAATTGAAAAAATTGAGTTTTATTCTTTAGCTCTGTTTTTAGTCCCTTAGAATGAAAATTAAGATTAGAGTTTTTATGTTGTACATGTTTCAGATGATATTTATAGTTTTTGCCTTTGTTTTGTTTGTGAGAAAATGCCGGAAAAGAAAAAATATGCAGTAAAGTTGTTGACAAATTCTCATGAGATACAAAAGTTTTTGAATTTGTAGGGCCTTTATATGGTGATTATTGGTTTAGATAAAGTATATGATAGGTTTCCTATATAGCATTATGAGCTGTTAGATAGATATAATGTGGATAGTTTTGGAAAATAAAGGAGCATTAGTTAGATATGTTGATGTAATTTTATAAATATATATATATGTGTATTTGAGTTGTAACTATTATTTAAACAGAGGAGAAACATGTGAATTTCTAACAGTAATAGGTTTACATAAAAAAAATCAATGCCAAGTCCTTATCTTTTTGCTAGTTACAAATGAATTGGTGCTATGTTCATCAATGCAATTGAGTAAATTGATGGCATAATGCACTGTGGTAATTGATCTAACACTTTTGAGTTGAATGTGGTGCTTAAGAGTCCATGTTCGACGTTTGAAACCTAGATAGAAGGCCTTTTCTTATTAATTTAACCAGGAAAGTAATTCAATTTACTTCATGGCAAGTAACCAAAACAAGTAATAATAATCCCAACTGCTTAACCAATTTATAAATGAGGCGGTCACAATATTTGACAATGGAATGGTTGATCAAATGAGTAAATCTGATTATTTTGGTTGCTTGCTTAATTGTCTGTGCTATTTTCATTATTGTTTCTCTCTTTAATATTTACCTTTGTAATTGTTTGGAGCAGGTGATTTATTGTCTGGAAGGAGCACAAATTGGCATACTATATGAGACATCTTTTGCAGGTGATTGTTTACAGGTATTGGTAATTTCTTTGCTATATTTTTGTTTCCGATACTTATGTATTATTTTCAGTTC